CACTTTTTCGATGGAAGCCAACCTTTGCGCGGCGAATTCTTGTCGCAAGAGCTTCGCATGACTGAGCCAATGGTTTGTGAATCTTGAACACAGATTTACCACTGATATACTTACATGTCACTAGGTCATTGCTGGCGTAGTTAAATGGTGCTGGAGTCGCCTTGCAGGCGGTGTTGTAGGCTGGGATGCGTACGAGCTGTTCAAAGTCGGCGAGCAAGGTATGTTGCACAAACGGACTCGGCACTTCACATGAGTATTTCATGGGCACCATGGGCTGACCCGCGCATTAGACTCAAATATGGCGAGGGACTCGTTCAAAACATTCATCCCTCTGAGTGTGGATAATGGAGCTCGTTCGTGTATCATTTTCGATTTCTTCGACTTGATGTCTGCAATTGCCGCCCACAGCAAGATGAACGGATTGGGCGGACGGAAATTGTCTCGGACGGCTGCCTGGTGGGCGTTCGAACACAAGGACACGGGCAGTGGCTTCGAAGGTGGTTACAAGGCATGGGCAAGGTGAGTAAAATTACCACGAGGGTCGAGCAACACTAACATTTTTCAGCGCCGCTGATGCTACGAGCCATCTGTTCTTCGCCTACCTGCGATCTTTGGCCCCGCAGAAGCAGACGCAGGGCTCCATCTCGCTGCTGCCAATGTCTCTTCAAAAATTGCTTCAGGAAACCGAGTATCCTCCCCAGAAGCCATCATTGATGCAGTCCTCTACATACAGGGTCGTTATGATCGTGGACACCGTTTCGCCGGGCCCCTTTGCGCTACTCCGTCGAGCCAATCACTTCCAGTACCGTGATGAGGACCAAGCTCTGCGCGAGTTTTCCGAGTACGAGGATCCTGTAAAGGCACTGACGGAAGAATGCCGTCGCGTCTTGAAATCGATCTCCTCCGCCAATCAGTCTCAAGTTTCCAGCTCAAAACACTCGACGAGTTTGCGCGACGCATCCTGGTCACGCTTCGAAGACATTGGCTTCACCAGCGCTCTCGAGGACAACGACGACGACGATGACCAAGAAGCGGCAGCTGCGGCTCGCAAACCCCAGGGCTTGAGAACCACACCTGCGGCTGGCAACATGGGCTTGGGACGGCCGACTACACCTTCCTGGGCCGATTTCCTCTCGTCTGGCTTTGTGGATGACAACCCAAATAACCCGAACATGCTACTGCCGCCCGATAAGCAGTTGCCGCCCATCGAGACAGCTCAACGCCAACGGAGCTCCCAATCTCACAACCCACGCCTGGAGTCGGATCGTCTCGAGCCTGGCGAGCTAGCAAGCATTGCCCGCTTTGACCTCGACGAGAGCTTCTGGTGGGTTTGGATGAGCAGTCTTGCACCCGAAGAGACTCCCGAGAGAAAATCTGCGTTTGGCCGCTGCGCCGTGATTGAGACGACCATTAAACGTGGTCGATGGCTCGTCATGGAGGAGATGGTTGCTGGTGCCGCCCCCGAGCCTCAGGAGGGAGCCTACATTGCCGAAAAGAAGGGATTCTTCAGCTGGACAAGGCGCAATAAGGGCGTCAACCGCCGTAAATCAACCGGCAAGCATACTCTTGAGAAGGGCAATAAAAAGACAGATCCCAATGTCAGTAAATCAAGCATCGGTCCCGATCAACAGGCTCGGATTCAAGCTGCTGCTCAACAGCTTCAGGCCCGTCAGCAGCAGGAGAAGCAACAGCAAATTTTGCAGGCTCGCCGAGGCCGGAATGATGAGTCGGCGAGAGAGAAGACCACCAGTGTATTCACCCTCCAGCCAGAAATCATGCGTCAGGCGTCTCCAGCGATGAAATGGGCAAACAAGTACGATAAGGAAGCGATTCGGGAGGCCTACCTGGCGAACAACACTGCTGGGCGCGGTATCGGTGTTTCCACCATGCAAAGGAAGGACAGTCAAGGCCATAACGAATACTCAAACGGCAACACCAACGGAGCGGAGCTTCGCCCGGAAGTCCCGGCCAAGTCGCCCTCGCTGCAACCACAGCCCTCGCCATTGACCCAGAGCTCACCAGGTTTCCCTCGTTCGCCATCCCCGCTTCCCCCCGGCGCGCAAGACGACGAACCTCGCATTCCATCCGAGAAGGAATCAGAGGCCCCGAGTGGTCTGCACCCGACCGACCGACTCGAGGAGGGCCGCAGTTCTCCGATGCCCCCGCCGAAGGACTCATATGACCAGGCACGGGAGAACATGTTCACCCCTGAACCGGACACCAGCCCGAAGGACAAAAAGTCCAAGAAGCTCCACAAGGAGAAGACCGGTGGAGGTGGACTTCGCAAGCTTTTTGGCCGTAACAAGAACCGGAACTCGAAACTGCCTGAGAATGCCGCCGCAGATTTGAACGGTATGCTCCAGCGCGAGACAGCAACTCCCGAGCCGCCAAAGCTTGCTCCTTCTCCTGTCCCCCAACCCGCTGCTTCAGAGTCCAATCTCCCCACACCAACACCTGCAGAGGCTTACATCACACCAATGGAGACTCCTCAACCCGCCCCAGTTGAGACCCAAGCTCACGAGCCGCAGTACGAGCCGTCCGTTGATGAATCCCTTTCTCGCGTCGATACCGACGATGCCAACGAGGCTCGGCACGAATTCTCGCGGTTTGACCAGGGCCCTCTGCAAGAGCAGCCCGCATTCGTCCCCGACGACGACTCCGAGGATGCTGTTCCGCCCCCTATCGCAAGACGTGCGAAGACCCCCGAACCTCCTGCGGACAACTCGTCCGCTCCGGTGTCTCCCGAGGATGGCCCTAGATCGCCGCCCGCAGTCGACCGATGGGCTCAGATCCGCAAGAACGCTGCGGATCGCGCAGCTCAACGCCAGAGCGAAGAACAGAGCCGGGGCGGATACAGCAAGACTACCGACGATGGCGACGACACAAGTGGGGAAGAGAGTAAGCCTTACCATGAAACTAGAAACCTTTGGCGCCCAAGATCTGACCATGTATAGCGATCGAATCCCGCGTAGCGCGTATTAAAGCGCGTGTTGCTGAACTGACTGGCAACATGGAGAACTCCCAAGGTCCTCCTTTGACGGGTGCCCGAACCCCTCCCGTCCGCCGTTAAAGATTGATGGACGACATTTGAACCTCCCGATTTGAAATTCGGATTCTCTGCGTATGTTTTGAATGACTGCAGCATCCAGCATCATTACGACTAAAAAAGCGCCACCTTTTTTTCCGGTCTCTAATTCTTCGAGATACAAACGTCTCCGATTTTCAGATCCCTGGCCGGATCTAAACCCCCCTTTTCTGTCATTAGTCCCTAATACCTTTCTGCCGTCCCTTTTCGTTGCGGGTTGTTACAGAATAAGATGATACCACTAGAATAGCAAGCCGATTACGCACAATATCAATGGCAGATTTGATCCTTGAGTTAAAGAACTGATGTGAACTTTAGAACCCAGTGAGAAAAGAAAGGAGTACCACCTTGTTTGTCATTGTTCTAAAGCCCAGCCAACGTTTATCTAGTTGCCTCCATATTTTCTAGAGCCTAGCACTCGAAACCCACATACGTGTTGTAGCCATCACTCGCCGTCATCTCTCTCTCTCTGTCTCTCCCCAAATCCGGGGACTACCATCCAACCGCCGTCGGTCATGATTCGACATGTTAGTCGCTCATCTCATCATCAGCATCAAACTGTTCATCCATCTCAGCCTCGTCATCCGTAAAGTCGAACGAGCCGCACTTCGTCCAGCGGGCCGCCACCGCGTCGATTGTGAGCCCTTCGCAGCCTTGAAAGGGCGTCCAGACGAAGGTGTCTTTCATCTCGATGAGGACGTGCGAATAGGGGATGTGGCCGGCATCAAGGACTGGTTTGCAGTAGGTGAGGGAGACTACTTTGGGGCGGTCGCATAGGTTGCAGATGAATTGTTGGATGTTGCACATTCCTGATGGGCGGAGGTGGTGTAGTTGTTGGGGTTCTCTCGGCGCTTTTCGTTTTAGTCTGAGTTCTTTTGAAGCTGTGTGTTGGGTGTAGTGAGATATTGAAGGTTAAGGTTGGTAGTGGGTGATATCTTGTCTTCGATCCAGTGACAGGAATGAAATGGCTTGCGCATTATATATGCTAGAGACTTTGATACCAGCTTTGTAACTATGGTGATATTGGTCATGAAGGGTCCGAATCACGCCTAACGACTATATTAACTTCTAGATATGACCGTTGTTGTCGGTGACAAGTTGCGAGACTACAGATTAGTCAACGACAAAGGGGTATGTTGAAGGCCAATGTTTCGATTTAAACTGTCTAGGGAAAATGAAAGCTGTAAGGATGGACTTCGAGACATGGCGTGTATGACTTCTTGCGACAGTCGGCCTCTTCTTCTTGTTGTCAATGGATTTCCGGCTTTGGCACTTGTACGGTGTTCCCCCTGTGTACGTCTCTGTTTTTTTTTTTTGTTTTTTTTTTTGTAGAAAAAGGTTGAGCGAGCTTTGATTGATCGATTTTCGGTTCTAGTAGAGATTCAATGTCTCTGGAGCACTTCCACAGGCGAAAGTAACTCCCAAATAGCATGAACATCGAGCAAAATTTTCAGTACGCCTGTCTATTCGAATGCAAGCCCACGCCAGTGATAAGTAGGTTCCCTTGACCCATTTCACAGAAGGAGCCAATCATCGACTATCCCGGTTGAGGATGTCTACAACTGCTACTTTACCACGCGTACCTCGGAGATGGGCTGCGTTCTGGTTTCCTAATGCGCTCGCAGACCCATGCGGTTGGAAGCACAAACATTCTCCACCAGCAGCACCTTGCCACCAACGTGCATAATTGTCTCCCAACCGAGGAAGAGAGGGGCAAACAACTTATCATCTTTCGTTTTTTCGTCTGAAAGAGACAGAGGAGGGGAAGACGAGGAGGGGTGATAAACGGGGACCGCTGCCACTCTCTCGGGTTCGTCAGCCCCTTCGTCCTTTGACGTTGTTTTCCCCCCATCGGACTCATTCAAAGAGTTGAGAGAGAGATATTCGCCAATTTTGTATTCAACCAGTCGCAGCCATGTCTACTACCGATCAAGAGCAGCAACCTGCTGCCAACAATGGCCCTGTCATTATCGCTGATGATTTTGTGAGTTGATCGCATATAGCCGGGTTCTTATTTCCGCTCTGCTTTCGTCACTCACCTCTCATGAAACCGCAAATATCCTGATAATGTGTTATTCTAGAGCGCTGATGACAGCTCATCGGACCGGGCTACTGTAAGTATCCCCGCGTAACGCGACAACGCCATAGATTCTGAATGTCTTATACTGAATCATCGGCTTCTCAGAGCGTTGCATCTTCAAGCACTAGCTTGGCAAGCTCAATCCTCAACCACCGCATCGAGAACGGCAGAACATACCACCGATACAAAGACGGTCGTGAGTATCTGATCCACCGCATGACCCGGAGGTCACTTCCTTGCGTTGACTTCGTCCGCTAACGCGGCATAGAATACAGCTACCCGAACGATGAGAAGGAAGCCGACAGGCTGGGTAAGTCGTGATAGGAAATACATCTCAACGTACTCCTGACATGGGTAACTAATGAATCACAGATCTGCAGCACAACGTCTTCCTCCTGACCCTCGACTATAGGCTCGGCCTCGCACCCATCGCCCAGCCCGAGGCCAAGGTAGGCCGCGTGCTTGACGTGGGCACTGGCACCGGACTCTGGTGCGTCGAATTCGGTGACGAACATCCCGACGCCGAGGTACATTTCCGCTCTTGCTACTTTGACTCAGTCTCTGGCTGTAAGAACGTCCGTGAGGTTTGCTGATTTGCTGCTTTGTTTAGGTTGTTGGTATCGATCTGTCTCCTGCACAAACTCAATTGTAGGAACTGTCTTTACTTTTCTTCTCAAATAGGCGGTAGTCAGTTGTACTCATGTTCTCTCTTATAGCGTCCCGCCCAACGTCAAGTTCGAGGTTGATGACCTCGAGGAACCCTGGACATACCACACCAAATTCGACTACATCCACACCCGCGCAATGACCTCGAGCATCTCCGACTGGAAAAGATTCTTCAAACAATCATACGAGTAAAGCAGCATCTCATAGTTCCCCCTTAGTTAACCCCCCGACCACGAAAAACTAATCAAAATACCCCGCCCCGACAGCTTCCTCGAACCAGGCGGCTACCTCGAGCTCCAAGAAGGCCACATGCGCCCCGAATGCGACGACGGCACCCTCAAGCCCGACAGCCCCCTCATCGAATGGGTCAACCGTCTCGAGGAGGCCTGCAACATCTTTGGCCGCCCCTTTGTCGACTGCCCCAGTCTCAAGCCCCTCCTCGAAGAAGTCGGCTTCGAGGACGTCGTCGTCACAAAGTACAAGTGGCCGCTCAACGCGTGGCCCAAGGACCCGCACTACCGCGAGCTGGGTATCTGGACGCTCGAGAATATGCTCGAGGGGCTCGAGGCGTGGAGCATGGCGCCGTTTACGCGGGCGCTCGAGTGGACAAAGGAGGAGGTGAATGTGTTTTTGATTGGGGTGAGGAATGAGTTGAAGAACAAGAACGTGCATGGATACATTCCCGTGTAAGTCCACTCTCCAAGTCCGACTTCTTGGCTTTTCTTTGAAGTGCTAATAGAAACTTGACAGGTACATCATTCACGCGAGAAAGCCGCTCAAGGAGACTGAGGAGAAAGAAGAAGCATCTTGAGAGTGATGGGGGCGGTCTGGTTCCAAAGTAGTCTTGAAGGGGGCTCTGGGGTAGGGGTTTGTTCATCTTATAGTAGTTAACTGGCGATAATCATGTTGGATGCTATAATGAGACACGAGTTCCACGTAGCACGTGAAGTAAACCCGCACCCGATGACTTTACCCCGAGGCTTGTTAGTGTAATGATCCCGGCGAGTCAAGCTGGAAGTTGCAACCTCCTTCTAAGCCCCGTCCAGCGTTCAGTCGTTGCTTTCAGAGGACGGAGGGAGGAGGAGGAATTTTCAGCCCTAGATATGGGTAGAAAGCGATGTGGCATGTGGAGAATTTCAGGAAACGTAGACAATAGCTGCGGTATGTTCTCGATTCGATGCCATGCGAAGAGGAGAGAAACAATAATAGGCGGACTATGAAAAGAGCATTCCCACTGGCTACTTCGAAACTTGCAACAATCAATGGCACCTTTGCAGCCCTTCGTCTTGTGTGGACATGTATGGACGGCTTTGAACTGATTACCGGCACTACAGCGGAAGTCATTCGGAACATACACAGCCGCCCAGACGGCGTCAAGTCAATTATGGTCATATATGTCACATGGAGAAAAGACAATCAAGTGAACAGAGAGTTTGGAGTTCCATTGAATCCAAGAGACTACAACATGTATCTATGAATACATTCCCTAGATGTGAGAAAAATGCCCAAATTCAAAAAAGCGCGCCAATGCGCACCCGTTACTCCGGTTATCACTGTTTTACCCAAAGCCAAGATTCCGTCGTGCGCTCGTCGTAGATGATCGTCTCAAAATTTACAGCTCCAAACTCGGCGTCTGGCCCTTGACGCGGCCAATCACCTGCTGTGGTGCGTACTTGGGGATAACCTCGTCGTCGTGCAGCATCTCAAACTCCTCGGTGGCGTCGCGGCCCATGAAGTTCATGATAGCCTGGGGTCCACCGGGGTGCTCCTCGAGCCAGTTTGAGAGATCCATCACAACACCCTTGACGACGACCCACAGGTCCTCCTTGGTGTTGTGCTTCGCAACCTCCTCCATGGAGAACTCCTTCTCGGGAACGGAGAACTCCTTGGGGTTGTTGGGCTTGGAAGCCTTCTGGCCGTCCGCCTTCTCGGGCGTGGGGCCGGCGGCAGATGTGGTCTGCTGGGCAGGGATACCCTGGCCGCCAGAGCCACCACCGTTGTTCCAGTCGATCGTGACGCGACCAGGCTGGGCGGGGTCCAGGTGCAGTGAGATCTGGCCGAGACGGGAGGTGGCACCTCCTACGCCGTTAAGGGCCTGCTGGAAGAGGTAGTTGCTAGCGGTGTCACCGGCAACACGGCCGTAGACGACACAGCCAAGTAGGGAAGAACCACCGAGACGGTTGGCACCGTGAACACCACCAGCAAGCTCACCGCAGGCGAACAGACCGTCGAAGGGCTTCTGCTCGCTGTTCAAGACCTGGGCCTTGTCGTTGATCTCGATACCACCCATGGTGAAGTGAAGAACAGGCTCCATCAGCGCGACGTGGAAGTCATCGTTGATGTCGACGGGCAGGTTGTGGAAGAACTTCTTGCCCCAAGGGTCCTTCTGCTTGCCGTCGGCAATGGCGTTGTAGGTGGTGAAGGTCTTCTGGAGGTGGTCGGGGGAGCAGCCAATCTCTTTGGCCAGCTCGGCACCGGTCATCTTCTTCATCAGACCACGGCCAGAGTAGTGGCGAGTGTGGAAGTCAAGGACCTTGGAGGCCTTGGAGTTGAGAATGAGTCTGATGGGGAACTTGTTCTTGTCCTTCTCCTTCCACATCATGCCGGAGACATAGTCACGGTGACCAAGCTCGTCGCAGAAACGGTCACCGTCGGCGTTGAGAAGGAGACCACCCTCACCACGAAGGGCCTCAGCAGCCAAGAACTTCCACTTGGAGCCGGGGTCCTTGGGGTCAACCAGACCGGTAGGGTGGACCTGGACCTTGTCCATGTCAATACCGTTACCGCCGATGGCCATGACCATCTTCTGACCGTCACCAGTGGCGTGGGTGCCGTTGGTGGTGGCGAGGCCGAAGGTATCGGGACGGTGCTTCTTGAGAAGGGAGGTCTCGCCAAAGTCGGCAGCGTAACCACCGGTGGCAAGAATGACGGGTCCATCAACCTTTTGCTCCTCGCCGTTGAACTCGTATGAAACACCAGTGATGGTGTTGCCGTCCTTGTTCAGGCCGGTAACGCGGGCCTTCTTGATGATCTCGACACGCTCGGGCTCGGTCTCGGCGAGCTCCTCGAGTCTCTGCATGAGGGCATATGTGATGGCCATACCAGGGAACTTGGCATCGTGACCACGGTGGGTACGGGGCTGGGAGTGACCTCTGTAGGATAGGTTAGGACCTGAGGAAATTTTGATATTGGGCCTCTGCGATTGACTTACCCTAACCGCGAAACGAGAGTAAGGTCCAGGTTGAAGACATCCTGGAGCCATTCGACGGCAGCAGCGGACTTGTAGGTAAGGACCTTGATGAGGTCGGGGCGGGCCTTGTCACGAGCAGACTTGAGGGTATCATCATAGAACTGCTTGACGCTGTCGGCAATTCCTGTGTCGACCTGTGTCCGCGTCAAGGCACCGTTGATGCCAGAGGTGGCCTTTGTGGAGTTGCCTCCGAAGAAGCCTACGTAGTAGGAGCGTAAGCTTTGCGACAATCACAAGCAGCGTAATAGTAATGGGTTTATTAGACTTACCCTGCTTGTCGAGAACGACAACGTTGCCTCCCGCGAGGTAGATGGTATGCGCGGCACTCAAGCCAGACACTGGCACGGATTAGCATGTGAGTGGGTAAGACGAGGCCGAGATTGGCCGCGGCAGAGAGAGTGGTAAGACTGAGAGGCGGAGGTGGGAGCAGGAAGAAGGGGTTGAGGTAACTTACGACCACCGCCAACGACGATAACTCTGGGTGCCATTTTGATTGATGTGATGGTATTGATGCGCTCCAGAGGACAGGATGGAGAACAAACAAAGAAGATGGGGAAGAGGAAAGATGGTGGGGGAGGAAGAGAGTTTGGATGGAGAGGTTTAAGAAGAAAACGAGAAGAGGAGCGGTGCCTTTCGTCTTGTTGCTACGCCGAGGGAAGATGGGGACAAAGGCACAAGGACGACGCGGGTCTGGGGCCGAAGGCAGGTGCAGGTGGTAGTGGTATCCGCTCCGCAAGGGACCTGGGGGGGGGGGGGGGGAAAGGGAGGGGGGGGGGGGGGGGGGCGGTGGGGGGGGGGGGGGGGGGGGGGGGGCGGGGGGGGGGGGGGGGGGGGGGGGGGTGGGGGGGGGGGGGGGGGGGGGGGGGGGGGGGGGTATACTTCGTACCGTATGGTACGGTGCAGTGGGACAGTGGTACATGCCTTACGGAGACGACTTGTTCTGGTTGCGTGAGGTGGTGCGCGCAGATGGGAGGGAGTGGCAGAAAGGTCGCTGACACGGCGATTCGTGAGCCGAGGTCGAAGCGCCGGTGGGAAAAGCAGAAACCAGGGGGGGCAACTTCGCACTGGGGACTTCCATGGCACACGAGTCCACGACTGGGCTTGCCCGCGGTGCTAGTCAGTTTTGGGCCGAGTTTGGGTCAGAGACTCAGAGTTGGGGGTCGGGGAAAGGGACGGTCTGGGGCCCTGGGGGAGGAGAATTGGCGTCACTAAACGGGGGGAGGCAGATGAACGTACCAGTAAGAATGAGCCTTTTGGTCAAGTGGTGGCAGTGGTCCGAGGAACAATGGGACACCTTTTTTTTCTTAGGTACAGGTGTGGGGAAGCCGAGAGCGACGAGAGAGATGGAATCTCAATTGAGTCTTGTCTTCCATGTGCAGTTTATTTCCCCAATTGCGCATCGTGAGAAAAGTTTCCTCCATGTTGTGTCTATCAACTACGAACAGGCAATTGCGTCCGGTCTGCGGAGGGCATTGCAACTGAACTGCTCCTCTAGCATGAAGAGACCCCAGACACTCGTTGGCTTCTCGCAGTAATTCTGGCCGAGACTGGGCCCGCGTTCGCTTTCCTCGGTGGTGGACCGCGACCTGCAAAACTGGGGGAAACTGTGGGGGATGTTCTAAAAGTCTCGAATTCCCCGTCTGGCTACTAAAGGTTCCCCGTCTATTACTGAGGTACCTCTGCGCTCCGTTTACCGAACTGACCAACGGAAGAGAGGGCATTACACAGTACCTAGACATGTTGAAGACGTTTGACCCAAAAACCTCAAAAGATGCAATTGAGGCTCTCTCGAGAAGGGATGGCAGACCGGTTCACCTGCCACGCCTGCGCCAGCCTTAGCTCCAACTGTGTAGGTAAGTACACTTTCACGAGTCAAATTGTTGGAGTAAGCTGCCGCAGAAAAGGCCATGAAGAATTTTGTGACAGTTTCAGGACTTTTCGAGCCGTCCATCGTTCGCCTCTGACATGTGAAGGCCACTCATTTACCACTTCCACCCAAGGTGCATCCAAGGTCACGGGCTTACCCTCGTGCTCGAGCTCATGCAGCTGACTGAACCTCGAACCGCCTGTCTTCCCGTCTGAGAGGCTACCAAACCTAAACGTCTGCCGTCGAATCTCTAACCAGCAATTGGCGTCCCGTCGCCTTCCCGCTCTCCCCACAACCTTGGGTGCGTACCACATGCCTCGTGTCAACAAGGTGAACGGGTAATCGACATCTTTCACGGGCATAAACCCGCCGCCTGCGATGCCCCATGCCATGGGACACGTTCCAAAACCCTTCTCCAGCCCCTTCTGCCCCTCAAGACTGTGCGGCTGCATTGAGGCTGCGGCTGGTCGAGCGCAATTCTCAAGGCGCCGTCGAATCTTCACGAGTGTAGCTACGTGCAAGAGAGGCATAGCCACCACGTACTGTGTAGGACTGTAGATACCGTTGTCTCACTAGGCCCCCTCCCACCTAATCCCCCACACAAGAGGTGCAGGTCAGATGATTGACCGGTCCGGAACTTTTAGCACCTGACCGAGGATCTACTCGCATTGCCGTCCCCTCTTTTCCCTTGCCG